CGTGGGGATACTTCCAGTCGCAAAAAAAAAAAAAAAAGGTTTACTAAGAGATAAAATAACAAAATTAAATATACACTTACCAAGTTTGGAAAAAGTTATTTTTGTCTAATACAAAGCCTAACTCTAGAGCAAAAATGAATGTATAAACAACATTACAAAGCATATACATTTATCATGTCAGCATCTGAAGCGTGAGAAGCTGTCAATTAGATTGAACATGTTTTGAATTAATATACAGAGAGTGATATTAAGAAAACGTAAAAACTAAAATGTATTATAGATAGAGTATAGACATCTCCACTAAGGCATGATTGAATGAAGGAATGTGACGAGAATGGAATGATTGTTCCCTTACTCATTCCTTATCCTATGATTGATATATTTTTTTTAAAAAAAATTACCATTCCAATTGAAATTGCAAAACCCATCTTCATGAGATTAGTCATTCCCTACCAAATATAAGGTTTTTTCATTCCCATATTTCTATGAATAAAATTTTTTAAAAAAATAAAATTAACAAATACTAATAAAAAATAAATATATAATATATACTATAAATCATGATTAAAATATTTTACAAAATAAATTTCAAATAAAATATTTCAAAACATATTTTTATTTATTGCTCATATCTTAATTAGATATATTAAACACTTATATAAAAATAAAACTAAAAAAATACATTTATAAATAAATTTATTTATATTATTTTGTTTTTATACATCATATATTATATATTTATTCATAAATTTAAATATAACATAGAAATATTCGATCACAGATGCGTATAGGGGTTTATGTAATGATATATTTGTATTAGTTAATATGTATATGAATACACAATTCATTAATTTATCGTATAATATATATGAGCGTGATAATACAAAAATACATTTATTAAAAATATAGTTTATATTTTTCTAAGAAATAAAATATTTTTATCTTATTATTATCATAAATAAAAAAAATAATATTATTATAAATTTTAAATTTATATAAATAATGATAAATAATAATATAGAATGATAAAGCTATTCATTTGTCTTTATCCTTCTGTATATCTAACACATTAACTCATTCGATTACTATCGAATTTCGTTCCAATATGCCAATCATGGCAGAGAAATAAGTGGCACTAAACATGATGACGCTAAAAGAAAAAAAAAAAAGATTAAATGAATGAAATCTCCACAAGAGAGACTACCATAAATAAAAAAAAATAACATCATTATAAATTTCAAATTTATATAAATAATAATAAATGATAATATAGAATGATAAAACCATTAATTTGTCTTATTCCTTATGTATATCAAACACATTAACTCATTCAATTACTATCAAATTTCGTTCCAATATACCAATCATGACAGAGAAATAAGTGGCACTAAACATGATGACGCTAAAAGAAAAAAGAAAAAAAAAAGATTAAATGAAAGAAATCTCCACAAGAGAGACTACCATCCCAAACCATGAGATAAAAGTCTAGTCTAAAATGAAGAGATCAATAATTCAAAAACTTAATTATACATATGAAAACTCAGACTAAAACTCATATATATCAACTTCGGTTTTGCTATGGAGCCAACGGTTGGCTCTATAGTGAAGCCAACTTTCTATATACAACAAGTAAACCTACCATGTTCTATGATAACTTAAATAACATTAATATAATTTCATTAGTATGGTAGGTTTACTTGTTGTATATAGAAGGTTGACTCCACTATGGAGCCAACTGTTGGCTTCATAACAAAACCGATATCTAACTTTATCAGATCTGATAAGTGACAAGAGTCACCAGTCATCAACATATTTATATAAAGAAATGATTAAAATAATAATTTCTAAAGATGTGGTAATAATTTTTAGTTTACAAAGAATTAAGTGTGACTAACACATCCAACTAATTTACCCGAGATGATCGCAGCTAAATTCAACACGCCCAAGCACGCGCACCGAATACTAAACAAAATTAACAAAGTGCAACTCAAGAGTACTTGAATGAGATGACTTGGGTCTCTTCCAACTTAACCAGTGGTCTCGTGTTCGAGCCCTGGAAATGCAGCAGTGTTAAAAACTCTTGAGGGAGAGTTTTGCCGCCCTTGTGGTCCTACCCGGCTCGATTCCGGATTAATCTGTTCCCCTGTGGATCCAAAAACCGGAAGGTTCATGTACCAAAAAAAAAAAAAATTAACCAAGTGCCAGATTATTTTTTATCTATACTATTATAAAAGAGCCAATGAATCTGTAAAAATATGATATGCCTAAATTAACCTTACTTTGTCATCTTTTTAATGTCAAATTTGTAATTTAATAACCCATTCTATACAAATATTTTTAATTAAACATCCTGCATATACAAAGTTAAAACGGGAACTATCCTTTATATTTGATATATTTATAATAATAATAAAATTATAATTACAATGATTAGTAAAAGAGATAAAATTATAATTTATAATAAAATTATAGGTATGAATAATAACAAATAAAATTCAGTTAACTAAAACATAGTTATTAAACATATTATAAAATATGTCAAATTTGAACAGATACATTTTTCCTTAGCTACAAAATATCACATTTGGTACATTTCTATCATGATGAATTGTATAAAATATATTTGGTATACTTTAATTTTTAAGATAAAATAAACAATACATAAATAACTTACATTTTATAATTATATTGTTATTATTATTATTATTATTATTATTATTATTATTATTATTATTATTATTATTATTATTATTATTATTATTATTATTATTATTTTGTGTCATAAACTGAACATTGAGATTTTTGATGTACAAAAAGAGAATTATCGGTTCAGTTCAAATCAATGTTCTTAATGATCCTTGTGTTCGACAAATAATTTTTATTCTTCAAAAGTAGTTATATTTGTTCTTTATTTATTTATTTACTTATTTATTTATTTATATTTTTTTGGTTGTTCTTGGCGTACAAAATAATTCTTATTTTGACTTAGGCATATGTTTTAAGATTTTTTATTCAAAAAAATTATATAATTATCCTATTCTAGGATTCAATCATATACTATATTCCCAGTCTTGTGGGATAGAAACATATAACGAAGGACCTCTCTTATTACACATGTTACAAGGAAAGTAGCTCGCAAAGAAGAATAGGAATGTCATTGGCTAACAAAAATGGGAGTCTAATAATCCTAATCAAAATAAATCCTGAAAAGCCAGGGACCACTACATAAAACCACTGTTCTAAAAATCGGCATAAAAAATTGGACAGGCGGCTATGTGTGTGTGTATGTGTGTGTATATATATATAATTTGACCATATATATTATGGTCCATCATCATCACGTATTGGAGGAAATTTTAAGGTTTGTAGTTATGAACTTAAGATTATACATCTTATGTAGTTCACCACACATTAATTGGTTGATATTTTACACAAATTATTCAATTACAAATTTTTTAGCAATAAATCTGAAGACCAAAATTATCGCTCATTGTATATATGACAGTTTTAATTTAATCAATTTATTTCTTAAGTGAAAAGCAGAATTTAATTTACCAAAAAAATATTTTCAATCTGTTTATATTGTGGTTTTAAGACTACAGAAATCTAAATGAAATTGTGTATGTATGTTTGTGATGGCTTATGAAATAAAAAATAATATTTGAATGGAAAGAAAAAACTAAAATTCGACCAAAATTGAATTTTAATATATACTTATAACTCATGAAAATAGCTATAAATAATTAGATTAAGTGGAAAAATGCATATGAAAACTATGTCCGTAGAAAAAGGGAAGATATTGAGGTATACGTGTTTTAATTAGCCAATAAAAATAATGTCACATAATGGTCTTCAACAAGATAAGATGACAAATGTAAACTTTCACATGCAATTATTCTTGAAAAAAATCAATTTAATTATATACAAAAATAACAAAAAATATAGTGTATATATATACAAAAATAACAAAAACATAATATATATATATATATATATATATATATA